AACTCTTCGCACAAATCGTCACCAAATCTATCGAAAGATGATTTGCTATACATTTGTGGCATTTTTCACACAAAATGATTGAAACTAACAATTAATACAACAATTAGTAAATCAACACTCAATCCAAACACGTGTTTGTCTTTCAAAACAACATTTTTGTTGATAAACATGAGTTAACCCAACATATGATGAGCGCATGTGCTCTACATTTGTGAATAAATAATGTATTGATTTCTTGTAAATAAAGTTGACTTAACCTCACAATTAACTAAATTTATTTATTTATTTTTATCCATTAATTTATGTTTAAAAGTATTGCATAAATTTTAGTCAAGGTTTTAATAACACTTATTAGAAGTTATTAATAATAAAATATAATGTATTTGACGTTAACTATGGCTTAAAGTCAATGCTTTTTGAGTTTTGTTTACAAATATATATTTGTTTACTTTTAGTGAAAATCAAGTTTTAACAGTAAATTAAATTGTGATTTGAATTATGTTTTAATTAATTAATGATTGAATCAATTGATGATAAAATGTGATAAAAGACAGCAAATAATGTGTGAAATAGTAATCAATGAATTGATTGATGAGTTGTTTAATGAAAATAAGAGACTTTTATCTGAATTGAAATTCAGTTCAATATTTCGTACATTTCTTGAGAAATACAGACATTTATTATTATTTAATTTCAATTGTGTTTGTCTTAAAAGTAGTGATAATCAGCTGTTAATCGATTCACTGGAGAAGGACTACAACACTATTATCACCGATGGATGCGCTCAACACTCGACCCAAACCACAACCACTCATAACTGCGAGCATATCTCTGGAGAGGGCGGAAGTGTTAACAGTAATGAAGCAAACCATGTGATAGTCAACGATGCGGCTGAAGAGGTGGTCAACAATAGTCATACTAATTGTGATAATTCAGAGACTGTTAGCGACAGACTTGGCGTACGTGTGAAGAGAGTGAAGGCCAGCGGCGGTCGAGAGATGATAACCAAACCGCCGAAGACTGTGAGATCAGCTGAGAAGTCACGGACTCGTAAACATGTGTGCGATTGGATGGGTTGCGAGCGCTCGTACCCGACGGCCGCACTGCTGGCTGATCACCGCCGACGCCAACACACGACAGACCGGCCGTACGGGCCGTGCGTTGAATGCGGCCAACGGTTCGCCACCAGTGATGCCGTCCGTAAGCATCGACTCAAACACCGATTGGTGAAGAAGTTTGTGTGCGATTACGACGGTTGCGACTTTGGGGCCAATATTGACAATCATATGACCGCTCATCGGCTGACACACGAGTGGACGCATACGACAGACACGGCGTTAGTGACAGACAATCAAAACAACGGCCCGAAGAGTACTTACGCACAGATAATGATCCTCGAGGGCGTTGGCATCCGCAAAGACAGCGATTCCAACACTTCGGCGCCCAAACGACAGTCGAATAAATACGGGTGCGATTGGTTGGGATGCGGTCTGACTTATGCGACAACACATCAACTGTTAGCACACGTCCGTCGGTCGCATACCGGCGACCGTCCCTTCAAATGCCACGAATGCCACAAACAGTTCCCAATGGAGTCGGAGCTCAAGACTCACCGCCGGATTCATGTCACGGCGTCGATGGCGAAGAGGTTTCGGTGCGATTACAACGGATGCGCTTTCGAGACGAGACATAAGACTAATCTCATTGAACACAAGAGACGACACCTGAATATACGTGACTTCGGGTGCGAAGTGTTTGGCTGTGCGAAGAGTTTTGTGACGAGAAGGCACCTGAAGGAGCATATGCTGAGTCATAGCGATGTGCGGCCGTATCGGTGCGATTGGCCCGGATGTGAGTCGGCGTTCAAACGGGACAGAGAGCTGGACAGTCACCGACGGACTCACACCGGCGTCCGTGAGTTTATGTGTCCGCACGACGGCTGCGGCAAAAGTTTTGTCAACAGAAATAACTTGAATTCGCACCGAAATCAACACAAACTGCCGTATGTCTGCGTTTGGCCCGCGTGTGACCACCGGTTCGCCGATAAACGTGGTCTTCGCGCCCATAACAACACACATGAAGGCATTCGGCCCTTTAAATGCCTGTCCTCTGCCTGTGATAAGTGTTTTGTCTCAAAACCATTGCTTAATCAACACATGAAAGTCGTTCACAAAACTAGTCGTTAATCACAGTATTTGTTAATTCAGTTGTTTTTTAATTTTATTGTTAATTTGTTTTAATGTTTGAAAAATTGTATTCATTTTATTAATTAAGATATGATTTATTAAAACCGCTGATATTCTGATACAAAAAATGTAATTCAAATTATTTCTGAAATTATGATTAGATATAAAGTTATGAAAGAAATATTAAAATAAACATATTTAAGTAGAAATGAAAATAATAGAAAGTAATTGTATTTATTTAACAAATAACACATTTTAACGGCAGTAAAACTTCTTCTCATTGTTTGCATTGATTTCAATGTTCTTTAGGTTAGGATTTGTGGCCAAAAGATCGCAGAAATCATTATCCAAGAGATCGATGTTATGATCGCATTGAATGACAAGTGTTTGCAAAGTCCGTAATCTTAAGATGTGATCCAAACACTTGTCGTTAAACTCTTGACATTCAAAGTCTAGATATTGAAGTCGTGGCCATTGTTTGTGACAATTGCCCAATAATTTGCAGTCTATTTGCGAGCATTGAATCATTAAATTGATTAATCGTTTGCCGGGAATCAAGAGATCAAACGATTGAGTGTTGGATCCGATGAGAGCTAATTCTAGTTGTCTTAATCGTCCAAACATTTCCAACGAATCCAATGTCTGGACATTGATTTCAGTAGTCTTTGTGCCCAACTTCAGCGCTAAAATTGTCAATTGTTTGCAATTCACGCCAATTGTCCGCAAAGAATCGTTCAATGATTGGTCGAAATGTCTTAATCTGATCACCAAAACCCGTAGTTGCGGTAATTGTGACAATTGGTGACCAAATTGTGTCAAACTCTCCAAATTGTGGATTTTAATTAAGAGAAATCTAAGGCATTGATTGCCGGCCAAGAATGCGGACAATTGCTCGCTATTAGCGCTCCCTTTCAACCAAAACGACCGTAAATTCTTCGCCAATAATTGTCCAGAAGTGGTGTCGAAGACTTCAGCCAAGTTTTCGACTCTCAATTCAGACAATCGGTTGCAATGAATGAGTGACTCCTTCTGTGACGACAAGTGATTCCCGACTCGTGTGACGAGTGGTGCCAACTGTCGTACCCATCGCTCGCTGTTTGACATTAAATCGCAATAAATTTCCCGTAATTTCGGGATTTTGTGTCGAATTTCGGGCAAAACTTCGAGAATGTATTGATTGCTGTCTTCGAGTCCTCGAAAGTCAATCGTTTCAATGTTTTGACACTTTTTGATCACTTTATTCATTGTTGCGATGATTGGAGTCATTGTATTGTAGTTTCCTTTAATCAATTCGTCTCTCACATCAATGTCGACAACACTCCTGAAGACTGTCCTCCGGAACTGTTTAGACATACATTGAAACACAAATCGGTTCTTAAGTGAGAGATTAGACAACAATAGTTGACACAAATCATCACCGAATCTGTCCATTGAGTCCTTGGCGTAGATTTGTGTCTAAAATGTGAAATAAAAACAATAAAAATTCAATAAACAGTCAATTGTTTGTCAAATACCTGTTGTCTGTCGTCGTCTTCGCTGCTGTCATCTGTGGACTCGAGTGATGTCTTCTGGTGTTTCATGTGTTGCGCCATATCTTGGGATCAAATGAAGTGATTGTTTGAATGTTTTGATTGAAATGTGAATCAATTATTGAATCACTTTTTATTCACACATTAATTACGTCTCGAATAAAGACTTGACTTCTGTTTGAATGGCAGACAAATAGCAGTCAATAATCTCTTCACTAATTGTCACAAAAATTAGTTTTCAGTTTAAAAGACAATTCATATAAAGACAACATTTGAGACATTTTTATTGATATGATTTTGTTTTGTCTTAAAACACATGTTTGAAAGTGTTATTCATTACTTTTATTACAAAATTAATCTCAAATTAAATGCAATATAAATTTTATGCACTATTAATGTCATAAAACTTATTTAATTTTTACAATTTTAATTTAGAAATTACTTTTATATAATAAATTTTATTTAAATTGTTTCATAAGTGTATTGAAGTATTAAAACTTGTAATTTTGTAATTGAAATACAAATTGTGTTAAAATATAAAAATACAGAATGTAAATTTACCCGGTTTAGACAGAAGCGATTTTAACATAAGTTTCTGTTAGCCCGGGAGAGTAATTATTATGATTTCAAAGTAAATAATAAAATTTTTTTAAAATATTTGTTATTGAATTAAAAGTTTTTCAGCGATTTAAAAAACGATTAATCTAATTATAATTTGTAATCATTAATCGTACCCAAAAATTCATACCTACTTATATGTGCGATAAATAACACATGCTTTTAATACATGAGATTATCACAATCACCAAACATTTTTTAATGGGGTAACGAGGGGTGAGAGGGCAGAGAATACGGAAAGCAGTTAATCAAATGATTTGAAACATTTTCATTTATTGTCCATTTAAATATATTGCAATAAACCAATACTTAATCACGGTAATATTATATCTTAAATCATATATACGGTAGATAAACATCTACAGTGTACACATGTATACTGTATATAAATAGGTTAAATTAAACCTACCTAGATATTATCAATGGTACTGTTGAGTACACAAAGTGTTGGTCTTTATTATCAATAATTCAGTACAAGTGTAGAAAAAATAGGTATTTAAAGTTACCTTAAGTTATTAAAAACAAGTTATTAACTAAAACAATGAATACAGTGTTAATACTCGGGATCTCAACACAACTTTTATTAATTGGTAAATAAAATCAATTTAT